ACACAAATAGGTAGACACAAATAACAGGATTCCCAATGTTTTCGCATATGTCCTGGGTTTTCGTCTTCCCCTCCACTTCCACTTTTTACTTATATTTTTACCTAACAGCGAAGACTGATAGGTTTCTACTGGTGTCAAAAGAGAGCATCTGATGACTCAGAAGGGAAGTCTGGGCGGCATCCGGACAGCGAAGGCCGGGCTCAGGGCCGGGCTCGTTTTAAGCAAACAGTCGCACACTTCGTGCTCTTCGACCCCCCAGAACTCAATTCCCGCGCCACATTTTGGATGCCCGAAGCCAACTGTAAGCCACTTCGTGCTGTACGACTTCTCAGAACTCCATTCCCGGGCCACATTTGTGATGCCCGGAGCCAACTGTAAGCCACTTCGTGCTCTACGACTTCCCAGAACTCCATTCCCGGGCCACATGTGAAATGCTCGGAACCAACTGTAAGCCTCTTCGTGCTCTTCGACTTCCCAGAACTCCATTCCCGGGCGACATTTTGGATGCCCGGAGCCAACTGTAGGCCACTTCGTGCTTCTCGACTTCCCAGAACTCCATTCCCGGGCCACATTTTTGATGCCCGGAGCCAACTGTAGGCCACTTCGTGCTCTTCGACTTCCCAGAACTTCACTCCCGGGCTACATTTTGAATGCCCGGAGCCAACTGTACGTTACTTTGTGTTCGTCCACTTCCCAGACTTCCAAGACTCATCATCTTCATCATCATCATCGTCCCCGTAGCCTTCTTGGCCACAGCCCTGCTTTCGAAGATTTCCTCTCAAAGGAACTGCGCAGCGCCTACTGCACACCTTAATGCCAGGACATGCTGATAGTTCTCGGTCTGGCGGCGGTGCTCCTGACCCTGCTGCATTGAACAGCGGTGCTCCTCAGCCTGCGGCAGGGAACAGCGCTGCTCCTCAGCGCGCTGCATTGAGCGGTCCTCTGCAAACGCTCGTCGAGCACGTGAAGCAGTTCGGCCGGATACCGAAGCGAAATAAAGGAACGTCCGAACAAGAACGGGCCGAACACAAGTTGGCCAAACGTTTCTCGGACCATCGCGACCGCATCCCCAAAGACATTTTGCATGAACTGCGGGCCCTGGGCTGTGCTGATCAGCAGACGGAGACCGAGGAGCTCAAGCGGAAGCAGAAGACCGAGGAGCTCATGCAGCAAAAGCGAGACAAGACCGAGGAGCTCATGCAGCAAAAGCGGGACAAGACCGAGGAGCTCACGCAGCAAGTGCGAGACCTCGGCCGCAACCCGAAGGAGTATGCCGGGCGTGGCCTCGCAGAGCGGCAGCTGGCAGAGAAAGTCCGGAAAGCACGGAAGGCCAACCAGTTCTCCCCGGAGCAGGACGCCGAGCTCCAGGCCTTCAAGCAAGCGGAGAGCGAAGCCACAACAAAGACTCGCATCGCGGAGGCGGAGGGCCTTCCAAACCCCATGGAAAGGTTCGCTGAGGAGGCGCAGAACAGGATCGACCAGGACCTACTACCATCACTACTACCATCACTACTACTTCTACTGCTGCTGCTACTACTACTGTTACTATTACTGCTGCTGCTGTTGTTGCTGCTGCTAGTGTAGCTATTGCTACTGCAACTACTGGCAGTGCCACTGCGACTGCCGATGATGTTGCCACTGCGACTGCCACTGCGAATCCTAATGCGACTGCGAGAACACCAGAATTCTACAACAGCACTCTTACATGAATACCACAGGCAATGTTTCCAGCTATGCTTCTACACATCGCTGTTAGGTTGCTTTGCTGGGATAATTTCGGGAATCGACGATTCATTGTGTCTGTGTTGTTTCCCTTCCTGGTAGGTGGGGAAACCAAAAGTACAGATAAGTGCACTACGCCCCCGACCTCTCCTGGGGCGCGCTTTGGCCAGGACAACGAGGCGAACCCAGCGGCGGCGACGAGGGCCTCCCAGGAGGCACACCAAGGGGGAAACGAGGGGGGGGTAGAGGCACCCACCGGTCGGAAGAAGCAAGTAGAAACACGAAGTAGGAGGGCGCACAAAGCAGATTGGGTCCGAGCCCGCCCAGACAGTAAACAAATGCGGCAGAAGCATATCGATCCTTGAAGTAGGAAGGCGGTCGCAGTACAGTCAACCAGTATAGTAAGGATGCGCGATAAGGATGCAAGGGCATTGGACGCAAATCTCGAAGCTTTCCGAACGGGGCGCGGCCGACGAAAGCGGCGGAGGATGGACCGAGGAGGCAAGGATGCAAGGATACCCTTGGGAAGGCTGCCTGCCCTTGTGGACTGCAGATGGGGCTCCGGGGATCCAGAACTACCGACTATACCGATGGGTCTGGGTGCCCCCTCCTCCCCTGAGGAGGGGGCCCCGCGGCAGCTGGCCCCCGGGGGGGTAGGCTGCAGCCCCAGCGGGCCGCGGGCGCCGGCCGGCCGCGAGGGGCGGAGGGCCAGAGCGCACGGCCCCGGGGGGCGAGCCACACCGCCGCGCGGCGCGCACGGGGGGAAGGGGGCGGGGCCCGCGGGCCCGGGGCGCCGCGCAGAGCGGAGGCCACGTCCACAAGGAGCCTGCCACAGGAGGCCCCACCCTGAGACCCCGGGACGTCCACCGTGCTCTTGGCGTGGGAGCCTCGCGCTCTCCATGGCAAAACCATCGAAGCCCAGGAAACCCAGGGCACCCTGGAAGCAAGCAGGGTGCTCCTTGGCATGGGTCTCCACTGTAAGGGGACACCAGGGATCACGCCTTCACGACAGAGACATCAGCAACCATCTAAGCCCCTGCCGCCGCGCTCCACGACTCAGACGAAGAGGAAGAGCTGGAGCAGCATCGCGGGGCGATGACTGCTGGGAGATGAAGGAGGGGGCAGCGAGGGCGATAAGTGGGCGTCGCATACTGGACAGGGCGATTAACAAGGGGGCAGCGAGGGCCGCAGAAAAGGGGCCCCCAGAGCCCCTTACAGGGGCCCTCTCGGGCCCGGAAGAAGGGCCTTCAGGACCCGAAGAGTGCACCTTCTCCCCCCCCCCCGTGTATCGCCCCCCCCTTCATCGAGTAGGGGATCGCCTACAGAATTGATTTACCCCCAAATGGATTGTCTCGTCGTCTGTACAAACTATGCGTGTACGCATTCTTCGTATGCTCGACGAACAAATCAGCTTCGGGGTGAATCAACTCTGCAGTCGATCCCCTGCTTGAATCATGCGACGCCCAAGGGCCGACCTCTGGTCCTTCCCGGGGCCGCTGTTCGAGAGTCTTCCTCCCCTTCGTCCTCCTCCTCCTCTTCCTCTTCCTCCTCCTCCTCCCTCCTCCTCCTCCTCCTCCTCCTCCTCCTCCTCCTCCTCCTCCTCCTCCTCCTCCTCCTCCTCCTCCTCCCACCGACTCACCGCACGGTGTGGTCACCGCACCGTTTGGGGGCCCCCGAAAGCCGTCTGCCAACGGCGCTGCGTTCCCCGGCGTTCCCCGGCGAGCGCCCGGCGTGCTTTCCTGCTGCGGGGTGCTCCCAGAGGCGTTGCCCCCTCGGCGGGCTCGCCCCTTTGGAGGCCTAGAAATTGGCACCAACACCAACACAGGAAGTTGCCTCCACATGAGGGAGATGATCCTAGACTTCGGTGTTGGTGGCAATATTTCGGTCACCTTGGAAGCCATAATATTACCACCATCACCGAGATCGGGATCCTCTTCCCTCGGTGGAAGCACACCGCCGATCTTGGTGTTGGTGTCAACCTCTAGGCCTGCGAGCCCCTGACCTAGAGGAGGGGGGGCTCCCAACTTCGCGCCTCGCGCTGCGCGAAGCGCGAAGTGCGAATCGCGCTCTCGCGCCGCCTCCCAGGGGAGAAGAGGAGGGCGAGGAGGAGTGGGAGCCGAACCGCGAAGCGCGAAGCGCGAATAACTCCGCGCCCTCGAGGGCGCCCTTGCAACTCGAGGAACCCCTGGCTGGAGGAAAGACTCCGACTTCTCGGCTGCGCTGGAACCGGAGCTCTCGAGCACTCGCTCCTCGAGCGCCGCCGTGCACTCGCGATGCTCCACCAGTCCCCCGAGAGAGGCTGAGGCCTACACTTTGCGAAATGCTTAAGAAATCATGGGTTAAGAAACTCAGAGTCTCAGAACTTGAATAAAACCCAAACTTTCTATTAAAATCTTAAGGTTTACATTGAAACGTTAAGAATAATCGAGACTCTGGCCGAAAACTTAAGTTTTCTTAAGCATCGCCTAAGGTGTAGTTCTGGCACTCCGCCTTGAACGAGGACTTCGTCGCCTCATCTGAGCTGTCCTCGACCTACCTCGTGCCCTGGTACTTTTTCGCCACACCAGCATCGTAGCCGTCACCAGCAACGTCACCAACATCATCGGTATCATCTCGTCATCGCCATTACTACCGCTACCGTCATCATCGCAGATCTGCGAGCATCAGCACCATGCCCACTCACAACCATAACCATCAACAACAACGTCATCCTTCTCGTCATCCGCACAACCACCGAGGCAGCCACTCAGCCACGTCCTTCCCGCCCCACTCTTTCTTCTCATCCCTACTCATCCTCCTTCTGCTCCTGCTCTTCTCAACTAACTGTATCTCTCCATCTCTTCTGCTCCTTCTCCTCCCTTCTCCTTCACCCTCCCTACCTCCATGGAGGGATCTGAGGATACCGGGGGAGGTGCTCGCAGACATCCGAAGGCCTCCAGAGGCATCTGCAGGACCCCAGGAATCAGCAACACTGATTTCGATCCTGAGTCATCCTTCCTCCTCCCTCCCTCCTGCTTCTTCCCTTCCTTCATCTCTTCCCCTCTTCCCCTCCCGAAGCCCGCCCATTCCTCCCTCCTCTCCTGCTCTTTTTCTCCGTCGTCGTCCTCGTTGACGTCTCTGGTACCGTCGCGGTCAATGCCGTCGGAATCATCGTCGTCCTCGTCGGCGTAAAGTTCATCTTCGACACTATCCTAGTCGTAGTCGATCTCTACATCGCCACCGTCGTAACGACTCGTCGTTGTCTTGAGCGTCGTATTGGTCGTCGCCAACAACCGCGCCTTGGGAACGCAAGAGTCGGCTGACATGTTCACGGTGACAGTTTGCTTCTGGTCGAGCACGGCGGCAAGGGTCTCCTAGAGCACCCCCAGCCCCCGCGATCCAGACATCCAGGATGGAAGAGGCGGACCAGGACAGAAGGGGGAGGAGCGGGATCGAGGAACAGGATGAGGATACAGGAAGGGGATGGGGAGGAGCACCGCGAAAGGCAAGAGAAAGAGGAGAGGGATCGAGAAGGAGGAGGATCGAAGAGAAGGGTCTAGAAAGGAGGAAGAAGGGAAGATGATCGTCGAGGAAGGAAGCGGAGGCGGGAGGAGGGGGACGATTGAGAAAGAATGAGGATGACAATCGGGGAGGGTCAGGATCGATGAGCAAGGAGGAGGAGGGTCGAGAAAACGCGGAACATGAACAAAACTGGTTCAAAGCACCAGCGTGCAATTCCCAAACGCATACTGCTCTGCGTCCTTGGAGAAAATGAGGCAGACAAGCACCAAAATGAAATTCTCGAGACTGTCCTGATCTGTGATCGCCAGCACTGTGCCCTGCCCCGGCGAGTCTTGATCTGTGATCGCGGCCAGAGTGAAAACCAAAAGCACCACTGTAAAATTCTCGGGCGCGTCCTTACCTGCGATCGCGAACATGGTGGAACTCAAGGAACACCAGCGTGCAATTATCGAGCACGGCCCGATTCGCCATCGCGGACATGGTCAAATCCAAGAGCACCGCCGTGAAATTCCCGAACACGTCCTGATCCGTGACCGAGAACATCGGGAAATCCAAGCAGCACCAGTGTACGATTCGCGAGCATGACATGGTGTGTGACCTCGGACACTGTGGAATCCAAGAGCACCAGCGAAAAATGCTCGAGCACGACTCAACACGTGATCTCGGACTGCGTGGACATGCGAGCAGAAACGCGCTCGAGCGCGACCTGACCTGTGATCGCGGACAGCGTAACCTGTTCAGGTCTGACCTCGTATGTGATCGCAAACAGCCTGACATCCTCGAGCACCAGCGTAAATTGTTCAAGACGGTCCTGGTTGGTGATCGTAGACATCTACAATTGGGCACTATGACGTGAGCGGCAGTGTTGTATCCTCAAGGCTGAGACATCAGCGTGTGAAAGTATTGGACCGCCCGATTGTCCCACCTGCTTTCGCAAGAAACAGCTGCTTGAAAGCATTAGCAACATGGCAGCGCTATGATGATCGTGGTGTTACTGGTGGTGCTGAACAAAGAAAACAATCCCCACCCACACGAGGGAAACCTTGGCCCTGCGGGGCAATCTACCCTCACCTAGGAGGGAATGGGTACCGTCTCTATCGGGTGTCGGGGGGGTACGCTGGGAGAGCCACCTGATCCTGCCCCAGTGGGGGTGGGGCTGGTTCAGACGAGGAGGAATCGTACTCTGAACCACTCAGGAACCATGGAGTGATCGTGTTTTCCCCGCAGGCTCCACCTATTGTCAAGCCCTTCACCTCGAAACCCGCGACCTCCGCCACGCGTCGACCTCCACGACGACACGGAATGCTTGCAGAGGGGGATGAGGTCGAGGAGGGATAAAACGAGGAACGCGGGACAGGAAGACAACCTCCACCTCGTTCCCTTCTAGCCATCGATCCCTGGACCCCTCTATCGGGAGCCCGAAGAGGATAATAACAAAACGAAACAAAAACTCAATGCGAGATCCTCGAGCCTCGATCCCCCTCATCCCTGCAACCCAAATCCCGGATCCCCTCGGCCACCATACCTCCTCATCCACTCCTCCTCCTACCTCCATTGCCATTCTCCTCAATACCTCAACTGACCTCTTCCTCCTCCTCCTCCTCCTCCTCCTCCTCCTCGTCCTCCTCTTCCCGTTATTCCTCCCCTTCCCCTAGTGCCCTCATCCGCCGCCGCAAAAACAACTCCATGGCCCTTATCCTCCCCGCCATACTCCACACTCCCTCATCGTCCCACCCCGCTTCTAGGTCCTCTTCCTCGACAGCCACGTAGTACAGCGGAATCATCGAGGGGTGGTCGTGGTCGACCCCGTCCGAGCTGGTGGGGTGCCAGAAGTGCAGGGCCTCTCGTCTCGAGGATTGCGTCTTCGTCGTCGTCGTCGTCGTCGCCATCGTCGTCGTCGTCGTCAACGTCGACAACATCGTCGACGTCAACGTCGACATCATCGTCGACGTCGTCGACGTGGACAACATCGTCGTCGCCGTCGTCGTCACCGTCGACAACGTCGTCGTCGCCGTCGTCATGTTAGTCGTTGTCGCCGTCCTCGTCACCGTCTCTTCCGTTGTCGTTTCCGTCGTCTTCTGGAACAGAGTCATCGTCGTCGCCGCGATCGTCCTCCTCGTCCCCGTCGTCGTAGTCGTCGTCGCTGGCCGAGGCTCGACGGGATGGAGACGTGATGGCGCTTCTGGCCAGAAGGCCACAGCCTGAAGCGTCGTCGCTGTAATCAACGTCGTCGTCGTCGGTAGTACCGTCAGCGTCGTCGACGTCGTCGGCATCGTCGTCGTCGGCATCGGCGTCGGCGGCGGCGTCGGCGACGGCGTCAACGTCGACGGCGTCGGCGGCGTCGTCGTCGGTCAGTCTGCTCCACGGGCTGCGCCCGCCGCCGGGCCTCCACCCAGGCCGCCGCCAGCCAGGGCACGGCTCGAGGAGGGTGAGGAGGTCTCACGAGGAGTATGGCGAGCCCCTCCTCCTCCTCCTCCTCCTGCTCCTGCTCCTCCTCCTCCTCCTACTCCTCCTCCTCCTCCTCCTCCTCCTCCTCCTCCTCCTCCTCCGCCTCCTCCTCCTCCTCGTCCTCCTCCTCCTCCTTCCTCCTCCTCCTCCTCCTCCTCATCTCCTCTCTCCTCTCTCCTCTCTCCTCTCTCCTCTCTCCTCTCTCCTCTCTCCTCTCTCCGCTCTCCTCTCTCCTCTTCTCCTCTCTCCTCCTCTCTCTCCTCTCTCCTCCTCTCACTCTCTCTCTCCCCTCTCCCTCTCTCCTCTCTCTCTCTCCTCTCTCCTCTCTCTCCTCTCTCCTCTCTCCTCTCTCTCTCTCCTCTCTCCTCTCGCTCTCCGCTCTCCGCTCTCCCTCTCCCCTCTCCCCTCTCTCCTCTCTCCTCTCCTCTCTCCTCTCTCCTCTCTCCTCTCTCCTCTCCTCTCTCCTCTCTCCTCTCTCCTCTCTCCTCTCTCCTCCTCCTCCTCCTCCTCCTCCTCCTCCTCCTCCTCCTCCTCCTCCTCCTCCTCCTCCTCCTCCTCCTCCTCCTCCTCCTCAATATCTCCTCCTCCTCCTCCTCCTCCTCCTCCTCCTCCTCCTCCTCCTCCTCCTCCTCCTCCTCCTCCTCCTTCCTCCTCCTCCTCCTCCCCTCCTCCTCCTCCTCCTCCTCTCCTCCTCCGTCTCCTCCTCCTCCTCCTCCTCCTCCTCCTCCTCCCTCCTCCTCCTCCTCCTCCTCCTCCTCCTCCTCCTCCTCCTCCTCCTCCTCCCTGGGGGGGGGTCGACTGGACCAAACACTTTGGGCCCAGGCCCAGCTCTTGGATACGCGACGGGGGGGGGCGTCTGCAGTGCGGACGCGGCCCCAAGAACCACTCGCACGCAACCCAGCCTTGAAACCCCGCGCGCGAGATGCACATGGGATGGAACCCAGAGCACCTCGAACGCAGCAGTTTCTTCAACGGCCGCGGGAAGTCTCCGCGAAGCGCGCTGAGCGAAGAAACTCCGGGTACCCTGACGAAACGCAGCTGACTTCTCGATGCGCGCGCCTCCCATGTATCCTCGATAGGGGTGCGTCCGCTTGGCCCCCTTGAAGGTGTATTCCCGACTTCCACCTTTTTTCTGAGCGACCTGATTTTGCGGCGGCAATTCCAAGGATTGGGAGCACAAAATCGCCTGCGAAGGACATCTGAACGACGATCCAAAACGGGTCTCACGCGAGCTGACACAGCAGCCTTACGCCGCAACTCGCGCGGGCCGCCAGCGCGGCACGCCATGTTCGAAACGGGGGCGCTTACGCGCGACCGTGCTAAGAGCAGAAAGAACACGTTCAGAAAAAACACGCTCATAATAAGCAAACGCACCAAGGAAAGGAATCGAACCAGGCAGGGCTGTTTCGTAAACGCCCAGGGCCGTGTAGCGAACACCGCTTATCAGGGTGTCTGGGTGGTCTTCCCTCCCTCGAACTGCGCGGGGAACCTCCACGCGAACGTCGGTGAAGAGGACCGCGCGTTCGTCCGCCGCTCCTCCCGAGGTAGGATGGCCAGCGCGGAGAGCGGGGCCGCGCCCAGCCTCTCACTGGCCTTAGTGGGCCCTGGAAACGACAGGGCCGTGTTTGTTGCCGGTTCCGTTTTGCGGTGTTTTCGCCGGTTCCGACGCCGGTGTTTTACCTGTTCCGGCGCCGTGCTTTTACAGGTTCCCGCTCCGGCTCCGATCCTGGAGCCGCTTTTGTTGCCGTTTCCGGTCGCCCTGTTTGTTGCAGTTTCCGTTTTCAAGGGACACTTTTGCGGAAACGGTAACAAAACGGCCCTGCCGTCTCCGGGGCCCACCAAGTCGGTGGCATCGTCGACCCTGGATTTCAATTGAATAGATGATATACACATTAAACCTCTGGACATCCCTTTTCGGCGGCGCCGCGGAGGCACCCGACGGCCCCCGCCGCGGGGGCCGCAGTTCGGGAGTTCCTGCGCGGCCCGGTGTGCAAGGACCGAGCTCGCGTTCGATGTTCGAGCCTGTTGCTGTTTCGTCCGCCGGGCGGCGGCCAACGATGACGAACGAACCAGAATTAGCAAAGCCTGGGAGACAGCGAGGCTGTGTGGATGTCCTCTGTGCTTTGCTCAGCCAAGTGTACGAACACACACACACACACACACAGCGGCGCGCGGCGGCAGAACCTTCCAGGAAAAATGAGTGACGCTCTCGTTACGCGAATCTGCTGTGAGGATTCATCGGCCGACCCCGAAATATCCCGAAGTCTGTCGTCCCTCCTGCTGCTCCCCCTCCCTTGCCGACGCCGCGAAGGGGGGGGATGGAGACGAGGAGCGAAGGAGAGGGAGGAGAGGGAGGCAGGGGAGAGGAGAGGGAGGAGAGGAGGGAGCGAGGGTGGAGCAGGAGAGGGAGCGAAGGGAGGGGAGAGGAGAGGAGGAAGGAGGGGGAGGAGGAGAGGGAAGAGGACGAGAGGGAGGAGAGGGTGAAGGAAAAGGAGGAGAAGGAGGGAGATCGTGATGGGGGGCGGGAGGGACGCTGGGGGCGACGGAGGTGGGGCAGTGTTTTGTTCTTGCTGCATCGGCGCATGGGATGAGGCATAGACCAATGAAGGGGCAGGTGTCCGGCGCATGGCCTCAAGAAAATGTGGAAAAGGTGTGCTGCGTTGATGATCTACGGCTCAACGAATCCACAAGCTGAGGCTGTCGTACTGTCCGAGCAGGCATGGTATTGCATGGCTGGGCACAAGCAAGCGAGTAGCTCACGTGATCGTCGACGGGCGCTGCAAGAAGGTGCCGATACATGCTGGAGTGCGTTTCTCGGCCAGGGGCTTAGCAGTGGTCGTGCCCATTCATCGCCTGCTTGAGTGCAGTTTCCAGGCGTCCCAAGTAAACTGCTGCGCGTGACTGGCCCCATAGATGGCACGATGGTGTGAGCTCCTTGGCAATGTCGTGAACATCAAAGATATGGTCGCGCTGCGTGAGTCCCGCCCAAATGGCCTCGACGACGTCCTCGGGCAGCTTGTAGGTAGTGGCCACACTTACCTGGTGTCCCAGGAGCAGGAAGGCCTGTGCAAGCCTGGGAAGCGGCGCCGCTTCTACCTTGTCCTCGTCGTAAGACGTCTCAGGGAAGCGCTCAGCAGCAGGCAGCGTGCAAGCGTTCTCCGCCTCAGCTTCAGTAGCGTAGACACCGTGTCCTTTAACATCACGTCGACCGTGGGCTGCAGCACCAAAGAACACCACGCGCGTCTGGCATCTATAACGTTGTCCGCGCCCGCTCCGGTCGCATCGGGGTACTTGCCGATGTAAATCGCCGGCTCGTGCGGCACGGACTCGATTTCGCCTGGCATCGCGTCGCAGTTGGGCGGAAGGGTGTGAAGGCCCAGGGCAAGGCCCAGGGCCCAGCACAGCACCTCAGTGAAAAGAGAGCGGCGCTTCATCCTGTATTGGTTCGCTTGCGCACAGGAGAGCGCCACTCGCCGGCAGGCCCGGCGCCCGAGACGTCCGGCTGCTCCAAATTTTTTCTCGGTGCGCGGGCCACAGAAGTCTGGACCACTTCCCCGGGACCGGTGCTCCGTCGTCGTCGTCGTCGTCGTCGACGACGAGGACGACGACGACGACGACGACGACGACGACCACTGACGGTCCCAGAGCCCAGCGAAGGCCCCTCGGAGGCCGGAAACGGCCCCAAACTGCCCGCTCCAAGTGTTGCTGGAACACCGGATCTCTGGGGGTCGAGGTGCATCAGGTTGTGCAGCGGGTCGATCACGGTCTCCAGCGGGCGGCCCGTGGTTCGGCGGCGAGCCCCGGGGGGGAGTGAGAAGGGACGGGCCTTCCCAGAGGGCGGCGAAGTCCCCCAGGCATCCTGGGAAGGTTCCTGAGCCTCCCTCGAAGACACCGAAAACCTCCTAGAAGGCCAGAGACATTCTGAGAAGCCCCGCCGCCTTCTGAGAAACCCTCCTCCTGCTCACTTCCTGGGGAAACACAGGGTACCGATACCGTTATTCCCCCGACCTCTCCCGATGTGCGTTCTGAGCAGGATTTCAAGGCGAATCCAGCGGTGACGAGGGCCTCCGAGGAGGCTCCAATAACTCCGACGAAGGACCCCACATGAGATGTTTTGCAGTTTGCCCCTCGTTTTCTTCTCTTCGCCCTGGCGGAGGCCCTCCTCCCGCCCTCTGTTGCGCCTCCTCCTCCTCCTCCCGAGGCCATTTTGGCTCAAGCCAGTTTGGCTCAAGTAAAACATGTATCGAGCCGGCTGGGCAGGTCAGTTCCTTGTTCTGGTGCTCACGTAGGCGGCTAAGCCTCAGGCACCAGGCCCGGCCTGGAGGATCCAGGCCACCAGCCAGTCATCCTTTCGTTGCCACCTTCCTTTCTCTGGTCGCAGCGGCAAGCGGCCAGACCCTCTCGCGGTGTCCAAGTGGTGGGATCAGAAGCAGCGCCACACGGTGTGCAGCACGGCTGGTTGCAAGGGTTGGACCTGGTGCAACTACGCGGGACACAAAGCACTGTAGTAGCTGTGGTAAAGAATTCCAGCAAGCCAGTCAGCATCGGGATGCCGCACCTGGAGCTGATCGTGGCGAATCATCGTCGCAATCGATGGGGTCGCGTTGCAGGCAGTGGCACCGTGGACCTCTCAGTGGAGAGCAAGTATGGAGATGGCCAGCAAGCAGGAGAACAAGACTACGTTCAGATGTGCTTGTCTGCGCTCGCCATCTGAAAAAAAGTCGGTTGGTACCACGGAAAACCCGTACCTCCAGCATCAAGAAAACCTCAAGCAAGCCAAGGCCCAAGCTCTCAACCGCAAGAGCCTCGACGCCGAGACCCAAAGCTTGGCGGACCAACTCCGGCGCCAGCGGCGCCGTCTGCAGTCCAAGAAGGGCGAAGTCGAGAAGAACCTCATCAGCCTCGAGAAAACAGCTGACCTGTACGACAAGACCATCCGGAGCTATGCCGAGCTGCAGAGTGAAGTCACCCAGCTTGAAGCTCGACAGTGTACATCTGCTCGTGCTGCAGCGGCTAAGGCCGCAGCAAGGCTCGAGCAAACCGCAACTTCGGCACAGGAGCACCCCAGAGCCTCCGAGACGAATCGGAAAGCGCCAGTGCCACGCTGCAGCTGCACTGGGAGGAGGAGGGGGAGCGTGAGGCACCTTCTACAGCATCCAGTCATGGTCAGCAGCAGCAGCAGCACGAGCCAGCAGAACCCGACGGACCCCGCAGCGCCGCCGCGCCGCCCACCTGACATGCAGGTCGACGTCAGGGGCGGCTGCAAGAGGAGGGAGGCCGAGCTGCTCGTCGCGGCCGCGGTGCGCACTCCGCCGGGGGCCTCCCCGACGCGGCCGCGCCCGCGCAGGGCAGCCTGGCCGAGCGCGCAGCTGCCTCCTTCCCAAAGGACGTCTGGGGGCCATCGTGGGTCAAAAGGGCAACCCACTGAGCAGATCCACGATTCACAGCAGCAGCGTCACTGGCGCGGGCGAGCGGCGTCGCTCCGACGCTGCCACAGCGGTCCAGGTCATCTGTTGCCACGGAAGACGTATTCCATCTCAAGATGTTGATAATGATAAGCAGTGGCGTGCTAACACGGGATGCTTAGCAGTTGTGTCACCAGCTATTCTTAGTCCCCAAAAATGTGCCTGCCAAGACACTGGAAACCGGGTACGCGCGGGTCTCGATTTCGGCATCTCTCCTCTAATTGTGCCCGACGATTCCCCCAAGTCGCGGGCCACCGTCATAGCACTTGAGGTCCCAGGACATCAAGCTCTTCTGTCTAAGATCTGTTTACATCGCGGACAGCGTCGGCCTGAATGGGGCCGACCTGATTGTCCTTGCCAGCGTCGTGCAGATAGCCGCGAACAACCAGTTACCAGTCATCATGGCCAGCGGTTTCAATGTTGGGCCGTCGAATGATCGACGCCGAATTCCTGTCCAAAGCTGGGGTCATCGTTCCAGATAAGCCGACCTTGAACGCGAAGAGAAGTGAGTCGACGATCGAATATTTCTTGGGATCCAGCTGTCTCGAGCATTTCCTGAAGAAGCCCAGTGCCCTTATTGACTACCCGTGTAGTCCGCACGGGCCAATCGTGATGGAGATGGCGGCTGGGGCCCCATATCTACCTTCCGACCCTGGAGCAACCGCAGCATGTCCCCATTGTGGCCCATGCACGGACCCAGCAACCGCTCGCCAGATTGGGACAGAAGTATTGGGGCTCCTGGAGCTTTGGAGGACCTTCTGGGCCGCTTCAGGAGGGCCCAGGAAGCCCCAGGAGGTTCCAAGAGGCTCCAGGAAGCCCTAGGAGGTGTCAAGAAGCCCCAGGGAAACCCGGGAATCCAATGAGAGCATTACCAATTGCAAGGAGTCCCACGAGCCTCTTGCCCGATCTCTGCTGCAGGTCTCACCAGTGCTGTTGACCAAGCATCTGCGTATCTCGTGGGGACGACGTGTCCGCCACGCTCAGCATTTGAACCGGCACGCCGCTTCGCATTCGGCGCCATCGCGCCCAGGTGCCTCCTGTCCGCTCGGCGCGGGCATCAGGTCTCGAGGCAAAGGATAGGAGGAGTTGGAGGAAGGCCGCAGCAGCTTCAAGACGGCTAAGGAACACCACGATTGACATCAGGAGGGAGCTGTGCCAGGCCCAGCAGGACCTCTCGCAGCCACCAGCTTCGCTCGAGCAGGTGGCGGAGCTCTTCGCCCCGCTCAACAGCGCGCGTACAAGCTACAATCCTGGACACCTCCAGGGGCGAGCCCGGCTTTAAGCTAATCGGCGCCGTTTTCGACGATAGACAATGAAATCTCGATGGCCCTGGACCGCGAAATCTCTCGGGGCCGCGTGGACGACATGGCCACCACACAACTATGGGCGAAAGAAGCTATGAACAAAGAACAAAGGGGTCGGGTGGGTCCACGGGCGGTCAAATCGGCTTACCCCCTGGCAACCTCGTCGCTCGTGGAAGCAGGAATATTCCCGTTGCTCTGGCAGACCTGTAGATCTGTTAAGCCGAACAGCAGCGTCCTTCCACTCTGTGGCAGGCAGTACCACAGGAGCCTGATTTCCTTGAAGCAGACACGAGATCGGCTGAGCAGCTTCGCCGAGCCAGACGTCGTTTCAGCGCGACCACAACAAGGAAGACTTGGGGCGGGATCCACCCCAGGCACTTCAGCCTCCTGGAGGACACCCGGTTGGAAATTGCCTACAGGCTCTTCTGGGCCATCGAGAGGATAGGCGGGTTCCCCACCCAAATCAGAGCCACCGTGACCGGCCTCACCGAAAAGCACAGAGCAGGCCCCACCCCAGGCCAAAGCTACCGTGGCAAAGGTATGATGCCAGGGCTCGGGAGAGTCCAGGACAAACATCGTCAAGTTGAGCTTCGCGCGTGGGAGCACGAGCACAGTTGGAAGCACCGCTCACATCAGTCGCGCAAGGGAGTTATGGAGGCTGCTGTTGCGCAGGTCATGCATGCCGAGGGACACTTCCCGGACGACAAGACAATTATACCTAGGGCCGTTCTGCGGGATCTATCCAATTACTACGAAACTGTTGATCGAACTATCTGGGAGAGGCCAGAGCCCAAGAAACCAATTTCTCAGACTCCCTGGCAGCGATTACCTGCAACCAGAACCAAGCTCCCCGCACTGTAGCCACTGCCAGCAGGACGCCCGACGCCATGTACTGCCGCAGGATTTCGAGCAACCACCTTTGTTGCGCAGAAGTACTGCCTCCCGCCAATTGGTAATTGGGTGGTTAACAACCCCCGCGTGCAGCCGACCACTTTTTTGATGATTTCCAGTTGTCCAACCACAACAGCAGCCATAAGTATCTCATCAGAAATCTCGTCAGGACCTCAGCTAGCATGCAACAAGCGATCGCCCATAATCTCAAATGCGAAATCGCTATGCACAAGGCTGCTGTTGTGGCCTCTTCGCCAGCGATCCAAGCTGCTCTGGCCTCTCGCCTCGGGAAATGGGCTGGACCAGCCGCTGCCGATGGCAGCCGCGAACCATCGGCCGCCAACGTAGGTGTAGATTTCACAGCAGGAGCCAGACTAAGGAGCCGGGCAAGGAGGACGCTCAAAGGTCGGGTCATCAAGCTGAAGTCGGGCTACGAACTCTTAGAAGGCAGGTGCAGGTACCATGAAGCTTTGGAATACAGGGCTTCAACAAGCAAGTTACGTAGGATCGGAAGTCTGGGGCTTATCGGAAGATTGCTGGACCCAAGTGCGCCGCCCGTTCGAGAAGCATCTCCCTGGCGCGCCTGGAGGACCCCACTTGGCGCTCAGCACTGGGACCCTGCATCTACTGGAGCCTCGTTGTGTGGTTGGCCTCCCAGAGTCCCTCTCAAAGCAGCAGGTATCCTACCTGAGCTCCGCCGTCTTGCCAGCAACGGTATCGAGTCAACTTCTGCAGGATGGGGAAGTGTTCGAGGCCCTCTTGGAGCTACTCTAGGTTTGAAGAGAACTGGCTGGACTTGGACGCACCTTTGCCTCTTCGCCAACCACACGGGTGAAAAGTGTCCGTTGCCAACGACCTCGCCAGCCCTATTGAAGAGTTTTCTGATTGCAGCCTGGCAGGAAAGTCTCGCAGGTGTTGCAGCACGGAAAATAGGCACTGACGCCATCGACCTGTCCTACGACCAGAAGGCGCTTGGCAGGAAGGACCTGCCCAACAACGAGCGCAGCACCCTCCTCGCCTTCCTGGCCCAGCCCATCTGGACCCTCAGTCGCCTCAGACAAGCAGGATACGACACCCCCCCCCGCCCAGTGCACATGTGACGCCCCGAAGGATGACCTTAGGCATAGGTT